TACGATGAGCTTTTCGACCAATCAGAATGTCCAATTCTTATATTCACCTCTGGAAATTATACTGATAGTAAATATTATCATTTACTCTCTCGCTTTTAAACACTTACGACTAAAACGAAAAACACACTTTCGAATGGAAGTTATTTATATTTGAAAAGGCCCAAATTACTTTTAAATTAAAATACTCTGCCCCTCATCTGCCTTTGTTTTGAAAAGCGTCAAGTACAAGGAGAATTGTAAAGAGTATTTTGCATTTTGACAGAAACACTTGCCATGTTGCTAAGAGATGTGACAGTTTCGTGTTCCCCTGGTCAAGAGCTGAACGGAATTTCGTTTGCATTGAGGCGTGAAGAGAGCAGGGACCACATCAAGTCTGAGCTAACGTGTTGGGTAACTAGATCACTTTTAGCTGACATAGTTTATTTTCCTTTTGTATCTTTGTCTTTGTACGTTACATGTACGTTTTGTGCTTCAGGTATTAGAGAGTTTAAGAATGACGTTTACAGCGAACGGCAAACGGCAAACGGCGAAAATTACCTCTGAATTTGTGTTCTTTTCGTCTAATCCTTAACTAAATCACACAAAAATAGAAAAATGTCTCCTACTATTCACCGCAAATAAATATATTTTCATCCTGCTGTACAGACAGCTGAAGACAAACGGCAAAAGTTTCATTTTTGCCGTTTGCTGTAACGTCATGCTTAATCTCTCCATTATACAAAGCAGTACTGACCTGAACGTACTTAATTCATTGATACGAAAGGATCATAAAGAGATCTTAAGTAGAGCAGTGGTGCATCTTATGATTAGTTAGGGTTCTTTCTGAGCTGACAAACCTTTAACCGGCTTAATTAAGAACTTTACGACCACGGGTTTCAGAGGAGTAAAAAATGCCTCCAGTGTAATACAGTACTATTCAGAAGTAATGCAAACGAATTTCGAAAAATTCTTTCGAAAACACACGATATTATTATAATTATATTATATTATATATTTCGTCAAAAGTGATCTTACTGGGTTATCTGCTGATGCAGTAAGAAGAGGTTAGGGCAAATAGTTCATATTCACGAATAATAACTTTGTTTACAGGCTATTAATAGTG